AACATGTCCAAAACAAGTGAGACAAAGCTACACCACTTTTGCCTTCAAGGAACATTCTGGCTGTTACTTTGTCCAGGACATCACATTTGTTCTTTCGGCCGTCCACGGGACTGTCAGCACTGTCCTCCAACACCACAACTCAAATGCATTGATTCTTCTCCTGTCATTCTTCCTTTCCTATCTTCTAATGTGTGTAACTCAGTGACTGTTGTTGTTAAGCGCCACTGAGTCGAGAAAGACAGCAACTCTATGATCAATAGATGATTAGACTCAATGATTAAACTGTATGATTTCGAGAGTCATCGTTCAGCTCTATAATTAATATCTTTAGGAAACCAAATCTTTCACTTCAAATCATAACATTTTAAAAAGGTAGAACTAATATGAATGGGAAAAAAGAGACTAATTTTTTTAAAAGAATCCAAGTGCTTCACCTGACTTCTGCTTCCGGGTGCCTCTGTAATTCCAGCATCAGAGAAATGACTATAAAAGCCACAAGAGGGGCTCATCTCATGCACGATGCTCACATGAACAGCCAAAACAGGAGAGAGACCACAAGACCTGCTGAGATTCTTGTTGATTTCATATTAAAAAGTTGATGGGCATTTAGTTGTTTTTCTTTTAGAGCTCATCATATGGAAATATTACACTAACATTAAAATACTAAATTTAAAAATTATATTTAAATTTTTTGTTTAAAAATGTTCTTTAATTTATTCACTACTCTTTTTTTGAGGGTAAAATAGTTAAGAATAGATTATATCCCCAAAGGGACAAACCAACCTCTGGGAAAGGAAATATGGAAGAGAGACCTATTCACTACTCTTAAAAAACAGACTGCTGTTGTTATATGCCGTTGAGTCGCCTGCAACCTAGCAACCTATAGTGACCTTACGTATAGCAGCTCTGATGCCTGTCCTGTTCAGAGCCAGTCTCACTGACTGACACCCCTATCCCTGTTGCCCCAGTCACTGTGTCAATCCATCTCATCCGGGTTCTTCCTCTCCTCCGCTGCTCCTCACCCCTCTGAGTATGATGTCCTTCTCCAAGGATCAGTCCATCCTGAACATATGCCCAAAGTATGTGAGATAGAGCTTCAAAATCCTGGCCTCCAAAGAGAAACTTGGTTTCACCCTCATTTTTACGTAATCTGCTCTGCATTATCTGATTTTAAGTAATGTGCATTATACTGTTTGATTAAAGAAACATTTTATATTTCAGGGACAGAATATTCCTCAACTAGTAAGCAGAGAATGAAAAACAAACCAAATAAGATCATGAGTTTTCATCACTTAGAAAACCATAGTGAACTGACAATCCTGCTTAGCGGTAAGGAAATGACCTACCCACTCAAAGGTACATGGTTCAAAACATGGAGAAGCTCCTCCTGTGTGATTTACTGCCTCTGAAAACCTGCCAGCAAGTTAGCTATGGATTGGTTCTAACTCTAAACAATAACAAATACAAAATCAGGGCTCTCTGGTAGCCTAGTCAGTCTGGAAGAAGTTGTGTTCCTAACTCAAAAAGGCTATGCCTCACTGGGAATTAGAATCCACCAGTGGCTCTGCAGGAGAAAGGTGTGCTCTTTCTTCTTGTGTGACAGCCTCTGAAGCCCAGTGGAGGGTCCTGTAGAATTGGTCTTTTTTTATTGCAGTGAGTGAGTGAATGAAGATTAAATGAAAAGCATTCTTAACTATTGAAAATATAGACATTTCCTGATATATAGGCTCCAACATTATACCTTCTTGTTGTTATGTGCCACTGAGTCACGTGCCAGGGCCTTCCTTTTTGTGCTGTCCCTCCAGTCTTCCCAGCATGATGTCCCTCTCCAAGGACTGGTCTTTGCTGGCAACAAGCCCAAAGTATGTGAGATGGAGCTTCAAAATCTTTGCCTCAAAGCAGCAGCCTTGTTTCACCCTGTACAGGACAGACTTACTTGTTCTCTTGGCAGTCCACTGTTATGTTCTTCTCCAGCACCACAACTCAAAGGCATCAATTCTTCTTCTGTCATCCTTAGTCAATGTCCAGCTCTCTGATGCACAGCAAGTAACTGCAAAAGACCATGGCTTAGATAAGGCACACATTAGTCTCTAGACTGACATTGCTGTTTCTCAATACTCTGGAGAGGTTCCTGACAACACATTTTCCCAATGCCATTCACCTTTTGATGTCCTAGCTGCTGGTACCACAAGTGTTGATTGTGGAACCAAGACAGCTGAAGCCATTAACAACCTCAATCTCTTCTCCATCTATCATGATGCTGCCAATTGGCCCAGTGGTGAGAATGTTTTCTTGATGTTGAGCTTCAGTCCATATTCAAAATTGCAGTCCTTGACCTAAGCAAAGTTGCATCATCCTCCCAGATGATCTGTTCTGCATATAGATTTAAAAAGTATGGAGACAGAATACATCCCTAGTGTACATCATTCCCAATTTTGAACCATGCCGTGTCTCCTTGCTCTTTTCTGACAACTGGCCCCTGGTCCAAGTATAGATTTTTTCAGGAATACTATCAAGTGTTCTGGGATTCCCATTCTCCTCAAGGTTAGCGACAATTTGTTGTGATCCACACAGTCAAATGTCTGCATAGTCAATGAAACACGGACAGCTATCCATCTGGTATTCTCTGCTTTTAGCTAAGATACAACAGTGGCTAGAATGTCCTCAGGGCCATGGCCTCTTCTAAACCCAGCCTGAACATCTGGCAATTCTCTGTTGATGAACTGTTCCATTCGTTTTTTTATACATTTCAGCAGGATCTTGCTTGTATTTGATATTAATGATACTGTTCAATAATTTCCACACTGTCAGATCATCTTGTTGTTGTTGTTATGTGCCATCCAGTCATTTGCAACTCATAGCAACCCTATGTACAACAGTCCTGAAAACTGTTCTATCCTGTGCCAACTTTAGAATGAGAATAAATATGCATCTCTTCAAGTTAGCTGGTCAGGTAGCTGTCCTCCAGATTTCCTGGCACAACCTGGTGAGTGCATTCAGGGCAGTGCCTGTTTGTTGAAATATGCCAATTGGTATACTGTCAATTCCTGGGGCCTTGTTCTTCTTGTCAATTCCTTCAGAGAAGCTTGAACTTCCTCTTCCATCACCACTGCCTCCTGGTCATATATTGCTTCATGATATTCTTCTGTGTCAGCCAGTTCTTTTTGGTACAGTGACTGTGTATTCAGTACAACTAAGTAAGATGAAACACAATGCTGACTTCAAACTACAAAATAAATTTACCACATGTCAGTTAAACTGCCAGATGATTATCTGAATTCAAGAACTTGTTAAGAAATGGCATATTTCAACTGGATTTACCCTGAAGTTTGCAGCAGTCATTACAAAGAGATTAGCATTTCTGAGTATTCAAGGGCAAGTAAAACATAGAAAACTTGAACTTGAAGACTTTTACAATATAGTTTAAGCCCAAAGAAAGAAATGACACTATACAGAGAACAGCTAAACCACAATATTACCATAAATACATAAACACTATGCCTACATTTCTGCATTTTTCTTTCTTTATAATGGCAGCCAACTTGTTCATTAGCCTAAAAGCCTATGTACAACTTCTCAGCCCTGCCAGGGAGCTCCGGACCTATGCCATCAAAGCAGCAGCACAATGAGGAATCAGCAGACCCATTTGCCTCAAAGCTAAACCTCATAAGCCACGAGGCTTTTCTACAAAAGGACTTCTAAGTCTGAAAAGACCATAAAGAGTTAAAAAGATACTCCTACTCTAGGAGGCTCAAGTACCTAAAAGGTGTGAAACAATTCTGGCTTAGTGAAAAAGGCTGAGTATTAGGGTAGAAAAAAGTCACTGAAAAGATAGTGAATATAATAAAATGATCTTTTTCCTTTCTAAGCCACAGGAATGGGTTGTGTGTAACTCCTCTTTTAAAGCAAGCTGAGAAGATATTTAAATGGACAGTTTAAAAATGGTCTTCTTAAAACCTTATCATTGCCTTTTAAAATCTAGAGTCAATGAGTGTGACATATGTAAATGTATAAAACAGAATAGAAAAACTCAAGGACTGTGGTTAGCAGGATCAAAAGTCTGGTTGCTTAGGACAGCTCTTTACTCCCTATGCCAGAGCATGGACACAAACGGCAGAATAGTGTGGCCTTCTGAAGTCATCAGTCAAGCTGACAGGCGCTATGTCCTGTGTGAAGCAGCTATTCTCCCAGAAAGCCCATGTCTGCAGGGCATGAGTGTGGGACAGTGGTCAGTGCTTTCCTTCCAAGGAAGAGAACACCACTCAACGTAGATTCGTGCTGCTTGATTTGGATAAAGTGAATTTGGCAAGTGTTCCCTAAAGCTAAAAGAAAGAATAATCCAAAATAAAACTCGCTGTTTGGGGTCGATCTGAGTCACCTCGACCCTACAGGACAGAGCAGAACTGTTCCCGAATGCTTCCCATGGAGCAGCTGGTTTCAACTACTGACTTTTTCGGTTAGCAGCTGAACCTCTGAACTCTACCACCAGGGCTCCTAGGAAAACATATTTGAGAAAAGATCTTTTCCCCCTACAAATTCTTCTATATTTCACATTTCTTTTCGTGCAAAACGTCATGTATACTGAACAATTAACCATTGATCCATATATTAGCTAGAAGCTATTATACCAGTACAAAAATACTCACACTAGATTATTAAAATTAAGACTATATTTAAATTTATAAAAACAGCACTGCATTGGGTGAGACTACAGCTCCAGTGCTGGGAACCTCATGCTATACAGAATCAGAGAAACTAACATTGTTGAGGGGAAGGGGGACCAATTTTCCTAATTTGCTACTATTTAAAAATGGTCAAGAGTTGCCACATCCTGGGGGCTAATTCTTGAATTTAAAGTGCCATTCAGATCATTGGTTAAAATCTGGAACAGGTGAGATCAGCTGCTACATCTGTGGCACAGGCCTGGTCAAAAGGGCCACACGCTGCACTTTGCTCACTCCTAGTCCCACCCACACTGAGCAGCAATGTACCCCCGTTGGGGCACAGGTCTCCACTGCCAAAGCCCATGGCACCTGCCGGCACCACCATCAAAGGCCTCACAGAGCACAGTCAGAGGTCCGGGGACTCGTTCAGTGCTGTGATGGGAGGGTCGGGGCGCCTTGTCTGGGTGATTTTCTGTTTCGGGTTTTTTATTTCTTCTTCTTCTTCAGTTTCACTTTCACACACATGAACCACCACACTTGGTGTTGACTCTGTTCCTGCATGAAGTTCGTATTTCTCTCCTACGGGAAGAAATAAAATAAGAAACTCAGGAACAGCCTCACCTACAGCAAGAAATGATTTGTCTAGTGAAGTTTCTTTTTCTACCTATATATTCTCATTACTTTTTTCTGATGTTTAAACTCATGTCAGAGTACTCTGTTTTGTTTTAGTGGTAGATAGATTTGACATTTTAAGGTTCTTACCAAATTTTACAATCTCAAGAAACAGCTAGTGAGGAGTACCGAAGTCTTGAGAGTTTCGATGTAAATTTTAATTACTGCTCTATAAACAAGTGAATCTGCTTAGCTTCAGTGTGTCCCTTGAGAGACACTTGTAGAGTTCCAGGCAGCATCAGCAAGCTCTCTATTCCAGGACCCCAGACATCCAAGATACAGCACTAATGTCTAAACACAACCTTAAGTCACTTGTAATGCATGTCTTATAGACATCAAGCTGTCTAGGGTGAATAATTAGAACCAGCATGGAATTAATGTCCTATACTATTTTAAAAAGACAAGCAAGTTACATTAAAGAGAGAAAAAAGAAGAATTGAAAAAAAAAAAGTCTGCAAGAAGTGATATACTAATTCCTTGAAATACTATTCAATAGTGAAGCTGTCTGTCTAGTACTTACATGAGGTAGGAGATAAGCCAACTAATACTTATTATGTACTAGTAGCATTATTAATAACAATAAAAGCCGCAGTTGCATTACTGTGTAAGATATAGAATTCTAACCACAGTGAAAACTAGGTACTATCATTACATAAGAAAATGGAGGCTAAATAACAAGATCACAAAGATAATAAATGACTGGAACTCAAGTTCGTGTGATTTACCTGGCATGCTAATCATGCTCCCACTGGTTTTAGTTAATGCAAATTGCTTGAATATAGTCTTCAATGTAAAAGCTTACTAGGAAAAAGAATGAGATATGTAAGGTTGTTACCTGGTCCCAATTTGGAAACGGCACAAAGTAAGTCGTAATTGATCACAGGCATCGCATCTTCACTCTGCTTCCACCCCACTGGCGGGGAGGCTGGGGGGGAGATGAGGAACTGCTTGGTGGGCTGTGGTGGCAGTAAGTATGACTTGTCCCGTGTCTCACTGGACATCTGGACCTGAAGGGAAAGATGCAAATCAATTCATGATCTTGGCTAGTTCCCATTCCAGTTCATTTGCTATGGGATTTGAAAAATTAGTATTAGGTATGTATTTTAAGAAATAATAATAGCTGAATTTAAAGAATAGATGAATGAACAAAAACAAATGGTAGCAATTACAAGATCCCACTCTTAAGGTGACAGTGTGCTGCCCTGTTTTATACTGTATCTTAATTGACTCTTTGTAGAAATCTTTTTCACTTAGATTTCTACTTAAAGTGTCAGACAGACAACATGCCTAGCCTTTTTGAGTTTCAAGGTTATGATCAAGAAAAAAAAACTCCTTATGCTTTTGAAAGTAAAACAAGAGTGCAAGCAATACATGGGCAGAGATCTAGTACCACCATTCTATCAATTTTTCATAAGAAAATAAGTATAGCCAATTAATGAAAACCAAGATTCTCTGCAATTTCAAAGCCCAAGGCCATCTTTATGTGCAGGTCTGACCTACCTTCCTGACCATCTCTTAGTGGTTTGTCATTTTTAATGGGAATTTATCATAGGAATGATAGAAAATAAGGAGAGATTTTTAAAATCCAATTTTTCTAAGGATGATATATCACTGACCTCTTTCTAGATATAAATTCATTAACAGCAGGGTGTTAGGGCTTAATCTTTGCAGGATTCCTGTTAAGGAAGGCAACCTGAGAAACAAGTTCTTTTAATTATTAGTCTAAGCAAAAGAAAGTTAGGAATTATGCTTGATAAACAAAATACAACATTACCCGTAAAACATTACCCTATTTTTAGGTTATTTGCTGATAGGCATTGTTTATTCCAAAGATCTCCAATATAAACATATAGGAAGTTGAGACCTAGCAAAGGTTTTTGGGCAGAGAACAATAAAACGATGCCATTTATACTGTGCAATACCTGTGCAAAATACAGCTTTAGCTTCTTTCCATTGAACTCTGTTTCGTGGAGTTCTATACGAGCTCTTGCTGCAGCTTCAGGTTTGCTGAAATTTATTCGAACTCTTCTAAAGCTTTTAAACAACTGAAATGTAACCTGGTCATCATAGATGGTGAAAAGTGCTTCAAATCGCTCCTATAAATTTAAGGGCAGCAGAACAGAGAAAACGTAAGGGTTGAGGGAAGGGAAGAAAAATTTTTAGCACACGGAAATTCTATTAATAAACTTACAAATAACAAAGACTTACTTTTTCCCCATAAAAGTTCTGTTATTCATATGCTAAATGGAGCAGTTAACACTTATTTTAAAAATAACTACCTGGCTCTATCAAAGTTATAAAAGAAATGTAAGGTATAATAAATGATATAAACAAACAGACCTAGCTGTCACAACAAAGCATTACTAATGCTTTGAAATCCCTAGTGTTTCCCCTTATCCCATTATCCCCTTTCTTTCATAATAACCTTTTCAACAAATTTCTATTTACCATTCTTTTAATTTTTCTCTGTAGTTTTACCACATTTACTGAGATCTCTCTCTACTAGTCATGTTGGATGGAATCTTCTATAATTTGCTCCTCTCGTCCAAGATTTTGTTCCTAAGCGTCTTCTTTATGCTGTAATTTTTTTTCTCTCTCTTTCTCGTCTTCTTTTTTTTTTCCATTCCAGCACTCTGATGAAGATTTCTGTGCAAAGCCCTTGGCACTCACTGGCAAAAAATGTCTGTTGCACACAAGTACAAACAGGGTGCTTCAGATCCTTGCCAACACTTGATGTAGTTACACTTTTAAGCTTATCAATAGGAAGCAGGGAACAAGAAATTCTTTCTAATTTTGTCTGTAATTCACACTTCCCCAAATGATAAGGCTGAGCTCCACATTTAGTCATTTTGGGTTCTTCTTACTATGCTTGTTCATAGTTTTTTTTTGGGGGGGGGTCCATTTTTTTTTTTACTAGGCTGTCTTTCTTATTGATTCCTTGGAGTTCTTAGAGCTGCCAACTATATTCATCTAGTTTACGGGTTTTTTGTTCCTTTGTTGTTGTCTAGGTGTTTTGTGGGGTTTTTTTAAAAGAAATGGAAAATTCAAATTTAAATATTTGTAAAATTTATTCATTTCCTTTTCTGTTTTAAGAAATTCTTCCATAATCTGAATGGATATTCTTGCCATTATAGAAGTCCAGAGTGAAGGCTGCATAGTGGGGTAGACTTGGAGGGGAGGGACTGCACAACAATGAAAGAGTTTTTCTTTTTCTTTTCAAGGAGAAGAGTGAATTGGGGAGAGGGAGAAAAGTGCAACAATGAATGACTGGAAACCCTCAGTCTCTGTAAACTATCATTAAAATTAGTAAAATAAAAGAAAAAGAAATTCTTCCATAATCTGTAATTACCATGATATTCTCCTAGATATTCAAGTATTTATGGTTTTTGCCTTTCACATTTAAGTCTTTAAAACTCACACTCAGTACTGTGCTGCCAGTTCCACCTGGCAGCGGCCCTCCAGTGGGCTTTTGAGGCTCTAAGTCTTTATGGGAGTGATACTGCTCCTTTTCCTCTCACCGTACTGCCACTGCCGGCAGACTTGAACTGAACTGCATGAGACTTACCGCCTATGGGTTACCAGAGCTTCCTCATGTGAGTCTTTCTTTTTTCTTTGCACTGGATGAATCTGCCGCTAAGAATTTTATTTTTATATATTTTTTTTCATTATCTATCTCGGTTTAATCCTATTTTACAGATGTTCACAACACTGACACGTAAGCTTTTTATGATCACATACAGGAAACTACATAAAAGAACTCCCATAAAAATTACACCCGAATCTTTTTCAGTGAGATTGCTGCTATATGATCTAGTTGTGAAATAAATTTAGGTTAAGTACAAATCACAGAAAAAAAATTACTAAAGTTTTCACCTTTAATGAAATAACTTTGGAAATAATGTACATTTCCATGACACCCACACTATAGTTTCTGGAGTCACAGAAAGATACAGAATTATACAGATTCCATAATTAATATGAATGCCAACATCTCTTAGTAGTTATTTGTTATATGGCAAACAAAATCAAGAAAGGGACCATCAAACAAAAAAGACCCATAGCTTCAGACAAGGCAAATCCCAGGATAGCATATGAGAACAGCTGCTGCTTCAGTGAAGTGTTTCTGGCATAGCCAATGATGAGGCTGCCAAAGATTGTCCCAATACCAGCACCAGAACCAGCCACGCCTACTGTTGCAGCTCCTGCACTAATAAATTTGGCAGCAGTATCAATGTCTCTGGTGATTGCACTGGTTTGAAACTCCCTCTGGATTAGTGGAGACACACCATTCTGGGCCCCACTAAACACTGCTGAGCCCTCTCCAGACCTGGTCGCGATAACACTGATGCAGTAACTGGTCTGTATGCAACCCTGGATCCAGGTCGGATCAGAGCCGGGGTGCAGGCGAGCCTGGCGCAGGCGCACATCTTAAACTCTTCGGAGAGACGCGGCTGGAGGACTGGGTGACAGGTGGCGTGGGCTCCTCTCCCGTTTCCTCCCTTCTACACGGCGGCAGCGGCGGCAGAGGTTGAAGTGGTACGGCTGGGCCTATTTGTATTTTTTTTATTGCCTAATTTCTTCCCTTCCTCTCCTCTTCCCTGCCACCCAGCAATACACTCCTTCTTCCAGACTGTTGTCATACATAATGCCTAATCACATATTCCTTTAGGACAGTTCTTCCCCTCATCTGTTCTACTGCAGTGTTCATTATCTATCCGCCCTTTGCCTATTCTCTGCTCCCCTGACTCTTTGTCCTGTTTTGTAACACTGGTGTTATATATACAGTATTTGTCCTTTTGTGACTGAGCTATTTCACACAGCATAAGGGTCCCGCATGGTGTGTAATGCTTTGATTTTGTTTTTCAATGTTGCATATTATTTCACTGTGTGAATGTACCATACTTCTCCCCCCTTTTTATTATACTAGTTTATTTACAAAATTCAAATCCATTGTTTTCCAGACCAGATTCTTTCACTTTCCCTCACCCCCACCCATCAAATTGTAAAACCCCATAATTAATTCCCCCCTCCCTGAGAAAATGGAAACTGAGGCACAAATGGAGACTTGTACACCAATGTTTATAGCTGTGTTATTCACCATCACAAGAACATGGAAATAGCCCAGATGTCCAACCACAATCGAATGGATTGAGAAATTATGGTACATTCCTACAATGGAATACTACACAGCACAAAGGAGCAATGATTTTGTAAATTATTACCTAACTTGGGAGGAACTGCAGAGCATTATGCTGAGTGAACTAACTCAGTCCCACAAGGACAAATATTGTATAAAACCATTATTGTAGAATGAGTATGAGGATTCAAAAGGGTGGTGTGAGAGTGGGAGCAGAGGGGTGAGGATGTACCATACTTCTTTTATTCTTTTGTTTGTCCTCATTTGAGTCTTAACACAAAATCGTATTATTGGGTAAGATATCTCTTTCCTCTTCTATCTCTGGAAACCATTGATCTGCTTTTATCACTATTGAATTTTCTATAAATAAAATCATAGTATGATTTTTTTTAAGTGGGGGGTTGACTTCTGAGCATAATTATTTTGAGACTCATCTATACTACTTTATTCTTTTTACCTTTTTTTCCCATATAGGATTTTACTATATGGGCGTTTATCCATTTGCCTGTTGACTAAATTGCCAAGCAGAATTTTTATCCATTCACCTATTGACTAGCATCTAGCTTGCTTCTAGTTTTGAGCCATTACAAATAGAGTGGTGATGAACATACATGTAACAGATTTTATGTGGATATAGGATTTCATTTCTTTTAGGTAAATAACAGAAGGGCTGAGTCCTATGATGTGTATGATTAACTTTAAAGAAACTATCAAACTGTTTTCCAATGTGGTATTTAACATTTCTACCATCTGCACATCCCAACAAACTATGGCTAACATTCAGAAGAATAGTAATGACAGAGTACTTAACTGTGCTCATATGAAATCTATACCTAAGACAAAAAGCTGTTGTCTGAATGGAACAAAGGAACAGTGCATGGTTTAAAATGTGGAAGTGTGTGTGTCAGGGTTGTATTCTTTCTCCACATGCATTCAATCTGTATGTTGAGCGAATAATTTGTGAAGTTGGACTCCATGAAGAAGAATGTGGCATTGGTATTGGAGGAAGACTCATCAATCACCTATGTCTGCAGATAACACAACCTTGCTTGCTAAAAGTGAGGAGGACCTGAAGCACTTGCTACAGAAGAACAAAGACTACAACCTTCAATATGGATTACACTGCAACAACAAGAAAACAAAGGTCCTTACCAATGGACCAATAGACAACATCACAATAGATGGAAAAAGGGTTGAAACTGACAATGATGTAATCCTACTTGGATCCACACTCAACAACCTTGGTTCCAGAAGTCAAGAGATAAGAAGACATATTGCTTTGACAAGGCTGCTGTCAGGGACCTCTCCAAAAACCTGAAGAGCAATGATATCAGTTTGAAGACTAATATGGGCCTGAATCAGGCCACAGTCTTTACAATCACCTGCTATACATCTAAGAGCTCGACAATGAATAAGGATGACAGAGGAATTATTGATGTCTTTGACCTCTGGTGTTGGAGAAGAATAAATAGTCCATAAACTGTCAAAAGAATAAACAAGTATGTTCTGGAAAAGGTGCAACCAGAGTGCTCCTTGAAGGCAAGGATGGCAAAGCTTCTCTCATGCTTTAGACACATTGTTAGGAGACGCTATTCATTGGAAAGGAGCATCATGTTTGGAAAGACAGGAAGGTTGTCAAAGCAGACAGACTGACAAAGGGACTTCAGCAATGGGCTCAAGTGTATTATAGATGGTGAGGATGGTACAGAATAGGACAGGATTCAGATCTGTTGTTCAAAGTTCGCTGTGAGTCATACTTGACTTGATGGCATCTAACAGCAGCAGCAACAACCACCTGCACATAGATTTCTAGCTGGTCAACGATCTTGTCAACACTTGGTATAGTCAATCTTACTCACCTTAGTGATTCTAATGTGCATCTAAGCCAGAATGCTTAAAAGTGAGGATGGCAAGATTTCATCTCACTTATTTGGATATGTTATCAAGAGATGCTGGTCC